CGAACGTTTGAAATTTGGTAACATAGCATCCTCGTTAACCTCCCGTAGAGCTTTATCAACTGTCGGTATTTCGTTTCTGAAGAAGAACTCGTGCACTTTCCTCCGAATGGCATGCTTGTCAGCGTCATCCAACGATCTTATGATACTTTTGCGATTTTAACCCGTCATTGGTTTGGAAAAGGCATGCTTTTTCTTATGTTCGTTCAAAACATTGTACACTGTCGCTTGGCATACCCCAATTTTATCTGCCACATTCAGAGCTATTTTAGGGTTAGTTGATGTTTCGTCTTCCTTCCGCTCTATCTTGAATGTATTCAATATGACGTCTTTCATGTCTACGCTAAGATGTCTTTTTTTGATCGCTTTCTAGGAGGGCTAAGGGAGTAGCCTACAGCCTCGTCAGCAGTATCTGTATTGGACATGTTCAGGATTGGTTCAAAACAAATAATAACGAGGAATAACAATAACAATCAGAAACTTAACAAATTACTCAAATACACTTAACAACAACAACAGCAACAACCAGGCAAGGTGAATACGAAAACACGAGCACGCAGTGATACACGCGACGGTCGGTGGCATGAATGCAACTATGCCTGCCCTGCCCCTGCCCCGCGCATTATTCCGCCAGGCGACCGCTTGAAATTTAATGGCGAATTGACCAATAAGATGCGTTGTCCCCACCTGTTACAGAGAGATCACGCGCTAACTGTTATTATTTACATCTCATCTTGAATTTGGATTCAGTTTAGATAAGCAAATACGAGATAAAAATTATTCAAATAAGGATGAACTTTTTGCCGCTTTAGAGCAAAAGTGGAGACAGATTGATGAATCTTATATCAAGAAACTTCTACAATCTATGCCGAGACGATGCCAGGCGATGATTGATAATAATGGTTATGCTACAAAATACTAACACAAACATGGTTGGTTTTCTATAATTCAATGAACTTTGCTTCTTTTTTCTATAATTGTTTTGCTTTGTCTATATATTTTTGTCCTTCATAGTTCCAGTTTTTTTCAATTAATTTTTTATTGAAGGGAGTCTAATGAATTTATTTATGTAAAAGTGTGTATTATGCTATAACGAATTATGTAAACAGGTTGGTGTATTAATAAAACAAGTTAAAAAAGAAATACAGCGCAATATTAATTTGTCTATATACTTTTGTCCATTACTGTATGTGTCATAACAAATTGTTTTCTCGAGAGTTAATAAGAAACATCAGAGACAGATATTTTTGTCTTGTGACCCTGTCGTGTCGTTTAGACTTGTGCATCGGATGACAATTTGAAAACCTACTGGATATTCTTTGTGCACCTGCACGTTTAATAGGTGTCAAGTCAGCATCCAGTGTTATCGACCTCCGAAATCCATGATGTTCTAAGCAGGCATGCTTAAGGCTCAATTACTAGTTATCTAAATACATAATACGTAGATGTTAAGCGATAACCGAATCTCCCACAGACAAAAGCTTCTAAGAAACCTCCATAAACATAAAAACGCTTTAATTAACCCAAAAAAACTTAATCCTCGTGTAGCGTTTTAAAAGCGAGCAAAGCATTTGTGTGATCTATCAAGATGCGACCGTCAAACTGTCACAATCTTCACTTTTAATAAGGTCCTCCTCTGCGTTATGCTACCACGAGTGAAATCGATTTTTTAAAGATACCGGCGACGTCCGGTAGGCTTACTGTTAATCATAGTGATGGATGCCAGTAGTAGTGACTACGCTACCGATGAATGCGATAAAATTGTTAAAAAACCATCGGCAGTTATGAGAGCGGTTAATTATATGCTGAAGTATCAGTCGACGGGAATGAAAAAGAGCTTTGGTGGGTGAGCTTCTGGTGTTGGTAAGAAGTCCTTGGAAATGAATGAATATACTCGTACATGTATCTGATGCAGTGCCCTTCAATCCCCTCCCCCCTCCTTACATATTTTTCAATGGGTGAAGTTAGTGTACTAAAATGTGGATATAAAATTAATATACAGGGTATTAGGAAATAATATTCATAACTTTAAGAGGTGATTCCTTGCATTATTCTAATAATAATAATAATAATAATAATAATAATAATAATAATAATAATAATAATAATAATAATAGTTTGATTGTCCAACAGTTTCCCATGTATAGGACAATTTATAAACATAATACAAAAGCAAAAAAAAAAGAAAAAAAGCGAAAAGAAAACAACAAATGCAACACAGGTATAAATTTGTAACATGAGCTATTGGTCCGAATAAGCCTTAGCTGGCTTTAGCAGGTAATTAACATTTGTCGTAAATATATCACAGTAACATCCAATTCTGTTTAAGTTAGAGCACATTACATATAACGGTGACTTGAGAAGAATGTTTGTCCTAGCTCTAGCAAGCCCGAATATTTTATGATTGCGAGATGCAAACGTTGGAGTACGAAACTTGATCTGTTCCAGGATCATGGGGCAATCAATTAAATTGTTGATCATTTTGTAGCCAAATATTATTGAGGCACAGTACCTACGTTTTTTCAAAGTCAACATGTCTAAGCGACTACATAGTTCCTCATTACTTGTACCTCTCTCTGGATATGTCCCATCAATCCTAAACAGAACAAACTTCATAAACTTCCGTTGTACTCTTTCAATAGTTGTGCTATAGCATTCATAGTAAGGGCTCCAAATAATACTACAATATTCGACTTTGGATCTAACATAAGCATAATATAATAGCTTAATAGACTTTATGTTATGAAAATTCCTGCAATTCCTTAATATGAAACCATAACCCGCCAATGCTTCTGATGCTTTTTTATTTATATGCTGACTAAAAGTTAACTATTGATCATAGATTATACCTAAATCACGTACATCAGAGCATCTTTCTAGCACAGACCAATCAATAGAGTACGGATATTCGCAAACATTAATTTTCCTGGTATAGCTTACTATTTTACACTTCCTCACATTAAGCTCCAACTTGTTTTCTACACACCAAGACAGCACACAATTTAATTGGTGTTGTAGCTTGATACAATCATCAGGAGTATTTATCTCTAAGCAAAGAGTTCATTATAACTTATGTCCGAAAATCGTTTTCGAGGAAAGTGAGTCGTAAATAATTAAAATTTCTCAAACATTCGGCAACGCTGCAACGCAACCGCGATACGAGCGCACGACGACCGCAACTGACTCATCGAATTGTTTACGTTTGTATGATATTTTTGTTGGAAATATGCCTTGAATAATTGAATACTTTTACGCAATTTTTTGTGGATAATATTTTTTATTTAATAACGCTTTCATTACAGTACATCTACTTAAAAAAAATGACAGAACTTACCGGTACGTGGCGATACACACCACCAATTCCCACGATTACGTCACTTATTTAACACGCTGCGATGCACGAAAAAAGAAAAAAAACAACATCCTTAAATCACATAAAGTTGATAGATATTAGACGTAACCACTTGAGGCGCGTCATTTCGCTGCAGAACTACGATTAGAGCAGATGAACACTTACAGAACTACTGTAACGCCAATGCCAGCAAAAATATAAGTCCACTTTCACGGACTTGTCATACTTTTTCTCCGGTAAAGCATTGTATGTCCAAAATTTCTCAGAAATGTTAGTCATAACATAAACACGAAAAATAGCTTTCCTGTAAGATTTGAATTTTGTGACTTAGAATACTTCTGCTTTCAAGCGACGAGATGTTCAAAATGGGAACCATGGGTATCTACGCAAGCTTGACACCGTGAACCCAATTGTCTTTAACTCGTTGAAAAATTCCAGGCATATTACGTATTCCATTAGCGGCGGCCAAAATACGCTCCCTTAAATCATTCTCATCCTTTATTTCAGAGGCGTAAACTAAATTTTTCATGAATCCCCACAAGAAAAAATCTAATGGATTATGATCTTGGGATCTAGCCGGCAAGGCATTTAGACCATTGCTTCGTATCCACCTATTCCCATAGGAATTATTGAGATGTTCCACAACTACTCGACTAGCTGTGCTGGAGCACCATCGTGCAAGTACTACATATTCATTTTTGTTTGCAATGGCACTTCTTCCAACAAAACGGGCAAATTGTCTCTTAGAAAAGCTAAGTAGCTCTCACCGTTCAAGCGATGTGGCAAAAAATATGGTCCTATTGGTCACCAATTATTCCAGCGCACACAATGAGCCGTATTCAAGAGAAGCATATCCTCGGAAGCATAAGGTAAAAGTATAAAGTCTTGCTTCGGAGAAAAAGGTAGAAGTATAATCATATACTTGTTTTCATATTCATAATGATTACCTTATACTCGCGAGGATATCCTCCAAGAAAAAGTAAAAGACTGACTGGTATTTGTATCTTGAGTGACATGTCCTGACTTGTTCCAGCTTGTAGTTGACGTGGGAGTTCGTTCACTCACTGACAGTTGTACTCCAGAACTTACACTTATTAAAAAAAATCAACAACATGAAATCAAGATTGAAGAAAAAAATAGATCTAAGAAAAACTGGTGATCAAGCAATTAAATTGTTAGATTGGGAAAGAAAGTTGCTGAAAGCTATGGAAGGTGACTGTAATCCTACAATTGGGAAAATTAGAGGTGCCATTCAGGTTGGTAGTGTTCAAGAAGAAGGAAGTGAACTATATACCGAGCGCAGTGAGCAAACAGTATTACAGCGCCAGCAATTCAGAAGACATTACCACCAAACAGAAAATTAGCAACAGAGAAATACGAAACTGAGGAAATCAAAGGATTAACTACAAAAGAACTGCAACGTCTAGTGCTATTACAGCAGTACCAAACAAGTACTTTACAACAAGAGTATTATAAAACGAAATTAGAAATGATGCAGCGTCAGAAGCGACCTGTAACTTATCATGTTCACGAAAATAAAACTTATTATAACTTATAAATACACTTTAATCAGCAAAACTATTTATTATAACACTCAAGTTTTTTCTTATTTGTTGACCTAGTTGGCGGAGAGGAAGTTCGTCATTCTCACGATTTCCTTCATCTTCATCTGGGTCTTGTTCAACTAGCTCAAAGTCAGGATCGCCCAAGCTCTTCGCAACATTATGGAGTATAATACAAGCAATAATTATTATATTTTTCAACTTAACGCGGCAAATATACTGTAGGATAGAAAACAGGCGTTTCAGTTGGCCGAAACAGCGTTCGATTATAACTCTTTCTTGTTTTAAAAGCTTATTATAATTCATTTCTGCACCTGGAGTAGGATTTCTGAACGGAGTCGTAAGGCATGGCTCAATACCATAACCGTAATCGCCAAGTAGTACAACATTTGCTTTATTTATTAGTTGTGATCTAGTCTGTGAATTTCTCCATATTCTGGAATCATGCACTGATCCACGCCAACTAACATTAACACTTGTGAACATCTCTCTGGCATCACAAGTGGCTTGCACATTTAAATTAGGTTTCCCTTTTCGGTTGATATACTCATCTCCATGGCGATTTGGTTTCAGGATTCCTATATGTGTACAAATTTATACATGCTTTGCCATATCCGCTTGATCTCCATTAGTCCATGGTTGGTAGTTGGAAACTTGATCCATTCGTTCGACTATGCAACTATGCTGTTCACAACTCTATCCACAGTCCGAGATACCGTTGCTTGACTAGCACCCAGATCCTGACCAATACCTTGTTGATATCCAGGGTCACCGAGATAGCGTAGACATATCTTCATTTCATGAATACATGAAAGTGCTCCTCCTCGAGTTTCCTCATTCCCAACTAAAAATCTCTGCGCAAGCCATTGTACATTTGCTTCGTCGAACCGATATAATTTTTTGAAGTCACGACCAAGTAAATGAGATTTGTACGTTTTAACAACCCTAACATCCACAATTTCCGCCATCATCGTTTGACCACCTTTGTTGAGTCTGCTACTGACCACACTCAGAATTTTTGAAGGATATGCCAAGTAATATAAGGTGAAGATTATGAATATCCTTTTACTTATGTCACTGCCCTGAAGGATATGCTTATACTCAAAAAGCAAAAGCATTTACTTCAAATTATTATAAATACCATCAAAATTTGCAAGTACAAGGATGTCCTTTGTTTTATTAACAGAAAATTGATACTGCGAATTTTTCTGTGCAATTGCAGGGGGATTTTCGTCCGCTCAATTATGAAAATTGTGAAAATTCCAAATTCCATTTCTTGTAAAACAAGGCTCATCTGTTGACACGTTCGCTACAAAATTGTGATTTCTTTGGTGTTTACCCAAAAACCAATTACAAAAATTTGTTCTTCGTGGAAAATCTTCAGGCGAAATCCTCGTCAATTAAATTCAAAATTTGTTTTTCGGTTTCCACTCCAATTCCACGATGTCTTCCGCGATTGTTAAAATTAGGCACTACGCTCCCTGTGTCCAGAAGTCTTTGGGATACTTCGACGAATGTCCTTCTAGCTGGTAGCTTTCGATCAGAAAAACGTTCTTCGTAAATCCTCCTAGCCTCTTCAGAATTGCAATGAGTCTCTCCGTAAATAATGGGTGATATGCATAAAGGCGAGTGGCTACTTTTGACTCGCATTTTTAAAGTAGCCACTCCATTTGATATGCATAAAAATGTAAGTAGAAGCTCACACTCATAAGTTTCTACTCTTTCCGTGAGTCTGTCCTCGCTCTTTGAGTGCCGACTTTAATTTTTATATGCATAAAAGCGAGCGTCCACTCCGACCGCTGAGTACATACTTAAAGAAATGCGAGATACCTTAGTAGTAGACTCAGCTTTATAAGAAGTGGATGTCTACGAAATGGCCGAATTTACGCCTACAAATAAGTGACAAGAAAAGTTCAATTTTCCTTCAGCTATTGGTGCTATCGACTGCACCCATATACCTATTCTGAAGCCGCTTATTCATGCAGACGAATATGTGAACAGAAAGAACTTTGCTAGTATAAATGTACAAGAAACGTGCAATTCAAACGAAGAGTTCACAAGTGCGGATGTTTCTTGGCCAGGATCTCTACACGACTCTCGGATGTGGAAGAATTCTGATATGTACAACGTTATCAAATGGAATACGGCTAGTGCTGTTTTGTTGGGAGACTCTCTCATTTTAGAAGAGATGCAATATAAAGAATTATTCATGGCTTTCGGGTCTAAGTAAGTATCTAGCATGATCCAAATGTACAAATTATGTAGATATACGTTGAAGAACGATGTTTAATTACTCATAATAAAATTAATAACACTTTCAAAATGGTAACTTAAGAGAAAGTTCTTAAAATTAATAAAAAATAACATTTATGAAACATGAAGTATTTCTGTCAGATCTGTCCTGGAAATAGGCTCAAGAAAATTGGATTTCCAGTTTCTGCACTTTCATTTAAAGTTGATAAATTTGGATCAGATTCATTAATATTTTTTTGTGAAATAGCAGTTCCATAGCTAGCCGAAACACTTGTAGTTGTTCAAGTAAAACGAGACGTTGGAACTCTGTTATTGATAAATCTCGTGTTTCATCGGTTTCCACTAATCCTCGTTTTCCTCTTTTTTAGAAGGCCCTTACTGGATCCGGCTTTCATTGTGGTAGCTTTCAGTACTGGTTCTGAACTTCCAGATGCTTCTTCGGTGATTGTTTCTTCTTCAGCACAGGCTGTTGGAGTGTAATCAACGTTTTTTTGTGGGCAACCTGCCACAATAGCACTTAAAGTTTAAAATATATGCTATTTATATTTATTGACATGTATATATATATTATACTCAATCACATCTTATACCTACTGTATGGAAAAAGAAAAAAATACAAGTAACATTGTAATCGAGCAATACTAGGATTTGATTCTCCTTGTAGAAAATTGAACAGTTCTTGTTCCCATCCTTTCAATTTTATTGGTTTGCTTCCGGTTTGATTTCGGTCTGTCTTCACTTTTAATCTGGTTTTTATGTTTTGAATCTTCTTCCAAATATGCCCTTCATTATATTTAACTCCTAATTCGGCTTCTACCTTTTCTTTTATTTCTTCAACCGCCTTACGACGTTTATTTTTGATTTCCGGGATGTTAGATTTTTCCAACAAAACAGGATACTGTTTAATTATATTTACAAATACTGTTTGATTTTCAGATGAATGGTCTTCAGAATAGGTTGACATCACGTAAATGAACAAATAATAATCGACCTAAACACCACCGACACAAACGTTTACCGGTATATAGTAGTACTGCTCGCAATAGAGAAATTGCAAATTCGGCGAGACAACAAAATAAAAGTCGGAACTCGAAAACCAGAGTGCCTGCTCAAGTATTTCATTAGCACTTGAGTAGCCTCTCCGTTTCTCGACAAATATTTTATACATATCAAAACCGAGTAGGCTCTCCCTAACAGGAGTAGTTACTCGCTACAATATGGAGTCGCTGTTTCTGAGAACCCACTCACCTTTATGCATATTACCCAATAAGCATATACTCGCGTACCGAAAACATCTCTTTCGTATCAAAATGTAGGCACTGATACAGTAAAACATACTGAATAATAAAATGTGAGAGAAACTATCAAATAATTTTTTCCCGGCGTAGGTACATATCTATTTTTTTGCCTACCGACACGATCTCGATCGTGGGCAACTCGCGATGATACATGCAGTGCAGGCGGAGTACGACGTTGCCAGTTGTGTGGGGGAAGGCCAGGAATAATTCAGGTCAATTTTGGAGAATTTCGGAGAATTCTCTGAACATCGTAGCAACGCAACAAAACCCAGTATATGGAATTACCAATTACCAAATGTTTTCTTTATTCTAGGCGATACCACATCGATGATGCTGCTAAGAGTGATTACTGTTGAGATAATTTTTCGTGTCTTTTTCAGCCTGGTCGGAACAATGCGGCTCCAGGAAAAATCTCTATTTTCAACATTATCACACGTGAAAGCTACTACAGTTGTAGTCACCGTTCTTGGCGGGTCAAAGTGTTACTACCAGTATCCTTTATACAATATCTCCATCTCCCTCATACTTACACATGCAACCTACCCCTGTGTGTGAACGTTTGTTCGGTAAGCGCAAAGACATACGTCTTTTAGTTGTGTGTCTCGTTACGTATGAGTGCCTTTCAATCATATTTATCAGAGTGACAACTTACTTGACCTCGGCGTGCAATTCGAGTTGTCCTGATATCAATCTTCAATATAAAATTGTTCAATGCCCGGAGACACGATCAATGGAGAAGGCCGACAGCTCGCGCTATTTCGAGTATTTCTAGGAAGAGAATATGAATATAGCGCCAGCGCAGCGGTCGCCTGTTACGCACTTCATGCGTACTGGAGAGAGTAGCAGATGCGCTAAAGATGCGCAGTGTTCCGCCCATGGTACGAAGACTGAATCTGTTTGCTTATTTCATATGGCGGTGATGACGTAGCCGCCAAGAACGGTGACTACAACTCCGTGCCTTAGAGGTAAACGATCGTAACTCCGTTTTTGCAGTTTTTGTGATTGTCTGCGTATAATTAGTATCCATGGTTAATCTTTACGTGGAGTAAATGATCATAGCGCCTAACCACGATAATCATGAAATATATGAAATAGAACAAGCAGCTACTGATTTTTTGTTAGAGGTAAACAGTCGCTTCTCCATACATACGCACAATACTATCATATGAATCGTCGCTACGCAGCGGTAAACAGTCGTGACTCCATCGCGCACCGCTTGCTTTAGAAACTGTGTTGTTCAATCAATCTTCAAAGTTGATCAAGGTGCTAAGTAACCAAAAAACGGTAATAATGTCCTCAAGGGCTCAAACATTAGTGCAGCTTGCACTGGAGGAAAAAATCGATTCTCGAGAATCTAGTAAGTACAACATAATTGATATTACAGGTGCCAAAACAGGAACATTATTATGATCATAAACTAGTTTTACATATTACAAATAATAAGTCCTTCATTAAAGTGTATCATTCACAAGTTTCTTCTACGTGGACGGACACACATAGAATCTGATCATATCCATGCACTTATCGAAAGAGTTATAAATAAACAACCAACCATGAAAATATGTACGCCATGGGACTGGCAGCAACTTATAACCGGAGCCACAGTTTTAGAGATGCAGTTAGATGACTTCAAGAACTCAAGAGGTGATCCTGTGCCTTATATTCCGGCACAGGATCACCTCCCATTCAAAAGAAACAGACAGTAGACAAAGAAAGCTTTTTAGTGTCATCAGCGGTGTGACTTGAGGTTCGAAAACAGGATCCAGGGATACTCTACTATAAAACAGACATATTCCAAGAGGACTACAAAATGGTAAACAGAGGTAGATCCTCTAGAAAACCGATAGGGTTAGCGCTAGAACTATGTTCGCCGCGTCAAACCTCAAAGGACTTAGCAACAAAAAGCACGATCATCTTCTCATGCTTCTACAATGGATACTAAAAGTATTTCATGATTTTTATAAAAATATGCCTGTGCTGGGTCAACAAGGAGATGATGACGACGACGACGATTGTACGTATATATATATATATTCTCCAGATGTCATTTTTTGTAATAATAAAATGTAGCCTATTTCCACCAATTATACTTACTGTGTTTCATCCTATGCTGCACCTGGATTTTATTATCATAGTAAATAGTCGTAATACACAAAATATTTTGGATATCACATTCTAAGATCATTAACATGGAGCATTACTGTTCTGTGTACCATATAATATGTTTTCCCAAAAAACTATATTCGCATATTAACATTAACATGAACAAAAATTAACTCAATCTTTAATTTGCTTGTTCTCTGAATTGCATTATATGGAGTTATAACTATACACCTCTAAGGCACAGAACTGTATTTACATAACAAGGCATTGGTTTCATGATTGATATTTCTCACCAATACAGTGAGGCGCTCAGTTTGGATGTGTTATTATCTACCTATTATCTCCGACCAATAATACTTAGAGATGCCGAATACCAATCGAATATCACAGACTACGTTATGGGTTATACATACGGCCGCCGTATATTTAGCCCCGATTTCCATTATTTGTACAAGTATCCCGGGTAACAGGTCACGACCTGTCTCGTTGCAAGAAAGAAACCCATTGGGAATACACGGCAGTTTCTAGATTATTTTGAAGAGGTGGCTACAGAAAATATGGATAAAGAGGTGGATATAGAAAAGAAAGGCGCAAATCTAAAAAGAGCTCACCTAGATCGGACAGCAAATTCTTACCAAATATGGGAAAGCAAACCCCCGGTAGAATAGTATGATTTATCCGTACAATTCATTGCTGCATAACGTATTGAAAAAGCAAAAAATAAGCGAATAAATGAAAGACCCCAGAAAGGAATCCTCCTTGTACATGGGTGAATAGCATTAAATATAAAAATTAGACCCAATAATGTAACATACATGTATATCACGTCCATCGTATAAATTACCCAGATCAGGTAAATAGCACACAGTTCAATCAGGTAAAAAGTCACATCCACTTTAGGCGATCACAACTTAAGTATACAATCACAATAACAGAAAAGCGGATATTAAATAATAGACAGTGGCGGATTTGAAGTCTTGGCCGCCCTAGGCCCTAGACCAGGTAGCCTCCCCTTTCTCAGTACTCATTACATAGACTACATAACTTACTTTATTGCCAACTTTGATAAAAGTTAATTCAAAAATTTAATCAAGTGATGATGATAGTTGCTAGTTTTTAATACCTTCCAAGGTTTCAAAGATAATTGCACATTTAAATAAAACAGTTAAAACGGGTTTAGTTTATAGGTTCATTCTAATATAATAAAAAATAAGTGTTTCACAATGTTACAAAACTCGTCTAGACTTAAACCCAGCAAAATCATTAAGTCTTCACAATCCAATCTCCTTGAAAAATCTGATTGTATGTTGAGCAAAGCAAGATCGATCAGCCTTTGCTCCGTGCGTAAATAATTCTTAACTCGTAGCAAACAAGAAAACGATCGTTCTCCGGAACAGTTACTGGTGGGTGTTCGCACACACATACGAAGAGCAATATCCACGGTTGGGTAAATGGTTTGAAAACCTTTGGTTCGTAACGATTTTAGCAAACTGATAGCACTTTTTCGATTTTCATTTTTAACACTGCAGTGAGCACGAAAATGAAGACATTCTTCGGAAAAGTTGTCTTCTAAGTCAGTAGAATAAACCATTTGCAATGCTTTGGCATTTCTTCGACTTCAGACGCGCTTAGTTTCGTCAAGCTAGTATTAAAATTTAATTTATATATAAGCATAATGTCATTTTTTGAGCTCTTCTGACAATGTATCAATTATTACCAAAAAAGTGGTGTTACTGAAATTTTCGCGACCGTTCTTTTGATGCATCTCTTCACCTGTATTAGTCTCGCTATGAAGTAGCTTACGACTGCGTCGAGCATCTCTTTCATATTACTGTACAAATCATCGAAGTTATCTAGCGTTTCACCAATAAAATGTATTAGTACCTCATACAATTCTACGACAATGGTAATGTCAATTTCCACACTTTGAAGTTTTTTACTTGTGGCGTTAATACGATCCAGTAAACATCCTCAAAACGCAGTCATGATGGCTGTTTCAAAACATTCCAATTTAACACGAATACCTCTTCCTTTGCATATAACTAACTCTAAACTTCGCTTTATGGATTTCATTCCACGAAACGCCTAAACTTCTGCATGCGTCTGCACGAGCTGACCAACGAGTCGTTGATCGACTTTTGACGGTGAAATGGGCTTGGAGGAGCTATCAACGGTGATTTGACGCTGCAAAGAAATTATACAACTCTTGGAGTAGAGAAAAGAACGAACAAGCCTCTTGACTGCATTCAGCTGCACATTCACTAAATTGAGTGAGTGTACTGAACAGGGAACATACTCGGCAAGAGGAGATAATTCCTTTATTTTAGCTTGTAGGCCGTTGTATTGCCTGCTTGTTAATAAATCAATATATACTCGTACACGTCGCGTTGCGATTATCACTACTAGTGTTTTTAAGCTGGCGCGTATAACAATAAGTATTCTTCCTAAATCACTTAAATGTACGAAGATACGTTATATTTTATTATACATTACACTATACCATTGATATACATATCTATATTTTATACATAAAATGTAGAAAGTGATTTAGTAAGATTATTGT